GCGAGGTTACTTTGTTGTGGATGCGAGGTTACTTTGTTGTGGATGCGAGGTTACTTTGTTGTGGATGCAAGGTTACTTTGTCGTGGGGTCGTGGTCAATTTGTTGTGAAAGCCTGACCACCTTGTTTTCGAGGCCTGTTTACTTTGTTGTGAGGAAGTGCGGGTCATTTTGTCGTGAAGGTGTCGCGGTCGTGTTGTAATAGAATTAAGTGCGCATAAAGGTTTTCATGTACATACTTTTCCCGACGACCTGACTCCCTTCAATAAGCAAAAATAAACCAGGATCCACGAGRAAATTAAACACAAGGTGATTTCCCATCCAATGGAACCAAGGTTTTCGATTCCCTCGCTGATATTAAGAATCTTGTTGCTATGATAACAAGGCAGTTAAGACAAAAGTAAGCTAGGCTGAATAAGTAGATATGGATGGAAACAATCTGGGGCTTACCATGCTAAATAGAACCTACAACTAATATGTTAATTTTGCAAAATGGTTGAATTTTGGTTATCAGAAATGGATGAGTGACTAGTGATGGTTTAAAATAATATACTTCATTTGATTTGCAAGGGAGCTAGCGTCTATGAACAAGAGTTTTTAGAATAAGTCGAGAGTGAGAGACTTACTTGAAGAATTCCTCTGCAGGTGATTTCCACTCAGGTGCACAGTTCTGTGCGAGTCCTAAAGCAGTGCAGTTAATTGTATTATTGCTGCTATATTTCTTCCTTCTGCATGCGATCATCAAAAAAACATGCCATATTAGTTTTTTTGCATTGCTTTTTAATTTTTGCATTGCTTTTTATTTTATTTTTCTCAAGTGAACTATGATATTCTTCGTTTGCATATGACGTCATAGCCGTAGTTGAATCTAAACGAAGGAGTTTTCAATAAATAGACCTAACTTACTGTTTTCCCATTTCAGACCACGTGTCATTCCCTAGAGTATTATGTCTTTGTTTAACGGTTGTGCATGAAAAGACACTTGAATATGGATATAACTCAAACGAAGAATCTTATTCTCAAGAGAATAACACGTGGTCTTAAATATGAAAGCATTACATCCAAGTGGATTTGATCTATTCTCTTGTTATATCATCCAACATGGCTGCCATGCCTTTTGTTATTTCACTCCCCTGGGAATGATTGAAAACTAGAGACAAGCTTCATAGCAAGGCGTGTTGTAAGAACGAAAGCACCAAAGACTTAATAGAACATAATACAAACTACCAAATGGTAGGAATATAATAAGACGCCTAAAGGCTCAGGATTGGTCGAAAAGACAATCTSAAATCGATAATACCTGGAACATGATTGGGTAGAAAAACTAGTAAAGTCGAAATCTAATTGGTTAGAAAGTCTCACATTCTGCGAGGCCTGATTTTTCTGGCCCGACCTTGAAGAATGGCCAAGGTGACCCAGAAAAATCAGCGCAGTGTAACAGGCACCCCAGGAATTCCCTAGATTTCGTCAGTGGTTGCCACACGTACCTGCACATCAATGTATTCCATGCATTATCACATGTTTTCCATGGTACGTCGGCACGAAAAGAGTTGAACAAAAACAGAACACACCAAGCAATGATGACGTTGTAATAGATAGAAACCAAGAATGATATCATTATCATAGCGAAACCAATCCCTGTGATAAAAAAGAACCAGTAACATTAAAACTGAAAAGAACTGCACAGCCAAACATCCAATCAGATTGAGGCTTACCACGTGACATGGGGCAGATAGCTGTCCAGGCTCCCACGGTACCAAGACTGAGATATTGACCAATAGCAAGCTCCATGTAGAACAATGGAATACCGTTAAAGGCCAACATCAGAAAGTAAGGAATGAGAAACGTCGCTGAAAAGAAGAATAGTGTGTTTTTGACTCGTACACATGAAAGAAATATTATGGACTGGACGGAATTAGTCATTCATTCAGTCAGTCAGTCAGCCCATCAGTCGATCAGTTGGTCAGTCAGTCGGTCCGTCACGAGTCAGCCAGCCAGCCAGCCAGTCAGTCAGTCAGTCAGTCAGTCAGTCAGTCAGTCAGTCAGTCAGTCAGTCAGTCAGTCAGTCAGTCTGCTTCACTATTGACAATTTTTAAGGCCAGTGTATGCGGGCTTAGCCTCACTTCTGAGGTCGGTAAACAAAAGCAGAAATCAGAGAACAAAACTAGCAACTCCTGGATTCGAGGCTAAGCCCGCACATACACTGGAGAGTTAAGTGCAAATGAACCCTTCGGCAATACTTTCAGTACTGATTCTACACGAAGTAAATAGTTGAATGGTAAAATATTTCTTGATTTGAGTGATGCGTTTCTAAGTTATGAAGGTTTTTACTTCCAATATGCTAATGAGTGTGACGTCTATTAAGGCTTAATTAAATATACAAAATCGAATTGGTTCATAGAAACAGTATTTAAAAATCATCATTATTTTACTCATGGTTTACATGAAAGCTATTTAAATTTTCTATTTTCAAAATGGCCAGCATTTAGTATTACTAGTTACAACAAAACACTAAAACTGACCTTACCTGACTTCATCATCATTAACCCCTTGAGTGTCCTTATGACGTACTGAGTGCGTCGCAAAAATTGCATGCTATGTGCCTATGTGACGTACTGAGTATGTCCAAGATTACAGTGTTATTGGAGAAACCTCGGCACAGCCAAGACATATTCTATCGGGACATTACGAAGTATATACCTTATGTAGGGGAATGGGAACTAGTTAGTGGGTAACCTGTGCCTTATTAATATGCATCGGCTTGTTTTTGATCAAAGCAAACTTTTCAAAATGGCGGCCTTGATGCCACGAGATRACAATTTACATTCATTTTTTTTGAAAAATTAAGAATAATATGGCTCATTTTTCTGCCCAAGATGTTTTAGATCGAGTGTGGAACGATTCCGGTGCAGAAGAAAGTTCAGAAGGTGATGAAAAAAGTATTTTTGATCCAGAAAACGAGTCTGAAGAGGAAAGCGAGGACAGTATCGATGAAGCCACTTCAAAGAAAGCGAAATAAATAAATAAATAAATACACTATATATTGCTTTTTTTAGAAAGTCGTTTTTATATGCTTTATAAAAACGTGTAATTCCTTACTTTTTAATAAAGAATTACATGTGAAAAGGCTGATTTTTTAAGTATACCTATATTTTACGCAAATTGCTTTGGCACAGGGGATGTTAAGTGGCATGCCAATGAAGGGGTTTAACATATTGGAAGTATAAACCGTCATAAATTAGAGACGCATCACTGGAAATCAAGAAATATTTTACCAATTTCAACTATTTACTTTATGCAGAATGAGTACTGAATGTATTGTCAAAGGGTTCATTTGCACTTTAAGAATCGTCATATGACAGCTTATTCGATTATTTTCTCTTTATTCGAGATCATTCCATCTTCTTTATACTATTCGCCCTTTTTCAATAAATTCCCAACATAACTTTCACAGTCTTGACTATGGTCTGATTCATCTGTATTATATTTGATTAATGAATCAAATGGTTCCTAACAATTTGCGTATCARATCCACAAAAACGCGGAGGGGGGCTGGAAGTGGGACTTAATTCAGAACTAGCTATGAATTACACTCTTGAATTCTTTTTATGACGAATTCGAAATTAAATGCATCTCGGTGAATAAGCTGTGTGTAATAATTCCTCCAAGTGTTTGTTCTTTTTATTTATCGAAGGATTAAAACGACTTACTATATGAAACAGTTTATTTAGGCGCKGCTCAAGGGCTCAAACAAGCATGTCTCAGAATTTAACTTTAACACATTGATAAATCATTGTAGTTTATTCCCTTATATTTCGCCTGACTCTTTTACCATGACAGTATATAAAACCATTTATGATTTTTACTTCGGATTAAGATATGAATTAAACGGACCTTACAGTATTACATACAAACAAATCCGTAGTCGGGTATATTTTCATTTCACCGGGCTACGAATCGTAGTCCTAGCTAGTGTAGCGACGAAGCGCTGTCCAAACTGATCTGACATTAAATGAATAAGTCACTCACCTCCACCATTACTGTAGCAAAGATATGGAAAACGCCAGACATTGCCGAGTCCTACAGCATACCCAACACACGACAACATAAAGTCGACTTTACTCCCCCATTTTTCACGATCATCTTCGATATCTACTTCAGGATTTGTGAAGTTTTTCATCTTAACGCTTTCAGTGTCGCCTATTAGTTCATTCGTACTGGGTGTTACCAGAGAACTGAGATTTTTTGGATTTTCGCCTTCGCCTTCGTACATGTCAACTGATTTATTCCAAGAAGCTTACTAATTAATAGTGTTTTACTGCCGAGTAGTGAGTTTGCTTCATTGAAGCCAAGAGCTTGTGGATGCTTTATAATTAATGCTCAAATCTGCTAACAATTGTCCCGATTATCCAATGGTATGCCGTATTTAAGCCGTTAGTTTTGCATCACAATAAAAGAAGATTATCATAATGAGTGATAAATCTTAAAAAATGAATATTTTAATGTAAATTGTGAATAAAAAAACAAAACGTAACTAAATTATCGTTAGAAATCGCTAGATTCCCCTTTTTAATTTTCAAGTTTATTCACACAAATATATATATTTTAATTAGTCAACAACCAATATGCTCTTGTCCTTGAAAAACCTCTCAAATCTAAAGAGCGCAAGACCTTTCACGAATTAGCTTGGATGATCACAAAACAAAGGTTTTGAATTTGAGACTGAATTTGATCCCTTTATTCATCAAGTCCAACCACGACTTGAAACCATTTTTTCATAAAAATAGTCAAGGGAATTCGAGAAAGGTTTATTAGTTTGAAATGGTATGGTTTTACCTGACTTCTTAGCCGGGTACGCAACAACAGCTGTATTATCTTTATTTCACTTTGGAAATAAAGTACATTGATTTAAAAAGAGTCATGTGGTTGCACAAATACTATGATAGAAAGCTGTTTTAACTCACTACTTTAATTGCGGTGGCTAGAATGCTTGCATGTTTGTGGTGTTGTGTTTGAATGATCTTGCAAGTGTCTATATGACAAATATGACAATATTCTCTGTATAGATGCTACATATAAGGAGCTAGTGCTAATTCAATGAACAAAATAAATTACATATATATGCTTGGTTCGATGAAGCAAATCATTTATTCATTCATGAGTCAGTTGCTAAGACCCACAAATTTTTTTTATAGTTTGAGTGATGCGTCATGAAGTACTAAAGGTTCATTCTCGCGTGTAATGACTGTGACGTCAGGAGAGCCATCATTTGGAAAACCATGGCTCTTATAMAACATATTGCTAATTATTATAGTTTCCACAAAGCAACAAGTCTTTCACATTATAAGGAACAACATATAAACATAAATGACACCCGGCCCTGATGTCACAGTCATCAGAATACGACAAAAATTAACCTTTAGGTTTTCTTTGTTATTCACAAGGCTTTATTTTTGTTATAACCTCATTATAAATGCGAGGTCAATATATAGTTAGTCATTAACCCGGTTAATAACTATATATAGACTTCGCACAAGAGAACATGAGCTAATTAATTTTCTATAATGAACAACATTTGATAGAAAACCTTCTCAATTGATAAATAAAATACAGTGGAACYCCGTTAATAAGGACACCGTTGGGACAGACAAAACTGTCCTTATTAACGGGGTATCCTGATTGTCCTATTTCACTATGACGTCACTGCTTGTTTATGTGGGGGATATAGAATCGCCAAATCCAGTAGTAAATTCAACAAAATTTGCTCCTAGCGAAACAGTTTAATCTAGAATGGCCTGGTTTTCAGATATAATATGTGTTGATATGTACTAAAAAAATTCTGAGCGTTTGCTGGCTATCCTACTTTTCTTTGTGGATTGATTTAAGAACAATTTTCGATGAATTTGCGTTGATTTGACCCCCTCCGATGACCATGATCCTTTGCGTTTAAACAATAGATTGTATTGATGTGACGTCATAGTGAAATAGGGCAATTAACCAAGGTTTCAGAAAAACAGCTGAAAACACATTTTTAACCGTCAATTTTTACTGTACTGTAATAAACCTTGAACTACAATGGTCAATATGACAGCCTAAACTGGAACAAACACAATACTGTACAAGCACGACATCATTTATGTACTATATTGTACTGTACTGTATAATTTCATTTAAAGAAATCTGTGAGTTTTTTTGTTTTTTTTTGAACAGAGTTTAAAATACTGGGATTGAACCAAACTTATTGAACATCGCTTAAAATCCTGCTAAAATCGAGCTTTGTCTATTTCATTATGCTGTAATAGCAAACTCTACTGCAATAATCAGTGTGTGGTCCGTTCATGATACGCAAAAACTGACAATATAATCCATATTAAGCTCATTAGATCAATAAACAAATACAGTAAAGACGTCTTCATATTTCAAGTGTCCTTAATGCGGGGTTGATTATGTATGGAAACTGTCATTCAGGTCCTAGAAATGTGTCCTTTGTACTTATTAACGGGTGTCCTTTGTACTTATTAACGGGTGTCCTTATAAAGCGGGTTAATTTAACAGAAAATGTATGGAGCTTTCGTTGGGACTTTGAAACCTGTCCTTAATATAACGAGGTGTCCTTATTAAGCGGGTGTCCTTAGAGCGGGGTTCCAATGTACTTAAAAATACTTAATCACCTCGAACGTCAGCAATCCTATACATCCCTCGGGCCTACGGCCGTCGGGATGTATATGGCTCTGGTTGCCTCCGTTCTCGGTAATTAACTATTACATAGTCCTCTTCACAGTTCCCGGCGCCGTTTCGAAAGGTAGCCGTGCCTTTGCATCGAAGTGAGACGAATGGTGAGCTTGCAATGATAGAGACAACCTTGAACAATTATTCACATGTCTCGCCTCGATGCAAGATACCTTTCAAGATGGCGCAGGGAACTGTGAAAGGGACTATTAAACTATGAAATATTTGGGTCATTGAACAGTTCTCCTTATGTAGAATTTATGCCGAGAATATTGTCAGATGTTTCATAGCCTCTATAACTATCTCCTTCATGACGATTTTTTTTTTGAAAAGTTGCTTATTCTTTGTTTTTTTACAAGTTGCTTTTCTCCTATTTTTCCCATACATTTTACATTTCGCTTTCTGTTCACCAAATTCACTGACAATTGCTGCCCGGTTTTAGGGGGTTGATGAAATGAAGTCTTTCAATCTTATTATTATCTGCATCATCAGCGCTTAAAACTTATTTGTTCGCATCCTGATTTTYYCCCCTCAAAAAATCAATGATATTGTATTTTTATTTATTGTTTTTTGCTTATAGGACACTTATGTAAGAGCATTGAGTTCTAATAATGCTCAGGAACTATTATTGTTATTATTATTATTATTATTGTTATTATTATTATTTGGGATAAATCTGTAATCAACCCAACACATCCTTGTTTCTTTAAGTACTTTCCCTCTAACTTTATTGAAATTATACTCGTTAGATTTTTTTTTTTCTTTCTTTCAGCTAGCATCTTTCATGTTATTTTTTCTGATTACATTATGCAGGCTTGGAAGTTCAAAATAAGAATAAACTGAGTTGAATAATAGGACTAAAGATCACGAGATTAATATAAGCAATATTTATATTTATATTCATGTTCGTATTTGTTTCTAAATTCTTTGAGGTCGGGCACAACTTTGTCCATAAAGTCAACGCATGGAACGTTCCTCAGTAGGCCTGGGAACGAGCAATCACGCATGCGCAGGGAGATGAATGTTTATTTAATGTCTCGGTTAGTGTGAACCCTTCTGGCCAACTCTTGCGTCTGTGCCCGAAAACAGTTCATTGTCACGTGGTCGGAGGCTATTCGCGCGGCACAGACATAGACCAACCAGCTGCCTGAAGGCCCGACGGAATTCTGGGATCTTGACGGCATATACCACGGGATTGACGGCTGAATTGGAATAATGCATGAATTTCATGAAGAGAATTAAATGAGGATTGAAGGTTTTGCAGGATGGGCAGTAGATGGTTACAACATTAACGATAAAGAATGGTAACCAGGCGATTACGAAGAACAAGATTACTAAGGCTATGGTTACGATAACGCGCATGTCGCGTTTGAGAGACCGCTGACCAGATTGTCCTTCTTGAGGCATGACGCGGTTACGAACCACTTTCCAGATCCCGCCATATGCAAATAAGATGACAAGCAAAGGAATCACAAAGAAAGCTACAAAGAGTATCATGATATTTAGATGTCTTTGAGTTTTTTTCAGCTCGAGAGAAATCCCGCACATGGTTGCTGGCAGGAACCAAACGAACACGAGAAACAAGTAGTAGACATTTGCACTGGTGTTGCGATGGCGGACGGGATACGTGATGGCGAAAAACCTCTCAAGGCTGATCACCATCAGATGAAGAATCGAAGTGGTCCCCGAGAAAGCATCCAAGAAAAAATAAACTTGTGAAAAGACGCGGTCACGGGGAGCAAGCAGTAAGATGGTCAACCACATTGGAATCGATACAGCTCCGACTGTTATGTCCGCTACAGCCATCGACGCTACGAAGTAGTTCGTATATGTTCGTAGATGACGATGACGAATGAACGAACCAACCACAAGCGCATTTCCAAATATGGCAAGAACGATGATGATGATGTAGAAGATACACGAAGTGATTATAGGAGCGAGGCCATAGAATATGATGCTTCTTGATAACCCACTGGCAGGTTGAGGTGGAAGTGTAGCCGTTCTATTATTGATGGTACCATTCATTGCAATCTGTGAACAATAAGGACGAAAAATATATGAAACCCCTGAAAAAACGGCCCAATATTTGTCCCAACATTTGACCCATACTCCAAAATCAGGTTAAGGGATACTCCGATATCAGGTTGCTGGGGGATACCCCAAAATCAGGTAAAGGATACTCYTAAATCAGGCTAGGGGATACTCAATTGATCGATTGAAAGTTAGTAGATCGCCTTCACCTTGTTTTAAGTCACTTTTACTTACCAGATTTTTATCCAAGATTTAAAAAAAGAAAAAAAAWATATATATTTGATAATGTTAGCGCTATAATAGCGGGTTATAGAAAGCATAAAAAGGTTTGTTCGGGTTTTAAGTTTGCCTCGTATGGATTGAGCTGGATTTTAAAAAATAAATGGAACTGCGGGCCATTTAGTGTTTTGAAATTCTTGACTGGCTGCCAGAATGGGTTACTCATAAATAGAAAGTTTCACTATTCTATATTCTATCATTTTAAAAATCAAAAAAGAAAAAGGAAAAAAAAAAGGAGTTGAAAAGCCAGTAGGTATAATATTCAGGTCACCCATCCAAGTGCTAACCCTCCTCAGACGATATTGACCCAGTATCTTGAAGGCGATGCTCATGTTTTTCCCACTGAGCCAAGAATCTAAGGAATCAGCATAACAATAGCCGTGAAAACAATYCACCGAATAGACTAGACTTTTAAACATCATTTCTTTAACCGATTCCGTGCGTGGCAGAGATGCAAGGGATTAGCCGATATGGTCTGGGGGCCGGCTGGTCTCTCCCCTGATGCTTCGGCTAGAACATTTTCTTGCGTAATTCGTGCACCCAAGGGCAGAAGGATTTAATCGCCGTCAGGTCCGAAGTCCATACGACGCCTCAGCTCTGCGGATGTCTCGGGGGTATGGCAAAGTGGAGTCGATTYTTTTTWWAAATTTCTGTCAGTTGGTTCAAACCTCATCGCATCCAGATAAGATTTTWAAWTTTTTTTTTAACTTCATATTATTATCGATTTGGCAGTATCTTCTTATTTACTACCCAATTCTTGTCTCACTCAACATGATCATATTCGACACTGTTACACGTTGAAAATTCTAGCTGCAACTTGCTTGCAATGGCGTTGCGCGACAAGTTTGACAGGGTGTTACACGGGGCAATTTCGTTCTGAAACTTGTTCCCGACACAAGTTTCGGTTGCACGAGTAGAAAGCGGGTCTACTTTTCGTGAAACGTTCTCGCGACAAAAGTTTCACAAAGCCTAAATTGCGCCGTGTAACACCCCCGTGAAAATTGTCTCGCAACGCCGTTGCAAGCAAGTTTCAGCTAGAATTTTCAACGTGTAACAGGGCCAAGTAAGAAGTTGGATGCGCAAGCAATCTTGAGAAAACAGTCTATTGGTCGGATCTTTCTGGTTTTTTTTYCCACACCGCCCTGATTCGGGTTCGGGTAAGCAACATTCAACTAACACTGATGCAACATGCGACATGCAACGAAACGATCACCAACCTTTTTAAAATAGCTGTATACGTAATCACATTTGAATTTCACAATGAAGGTGTCAGAACTGTCTAATTAAGTTAAACTTAGATTAAATTAAATGAGCGAAATTCTCAACGTTGTTTCGAGTTTTGGGGGTGATAATATATATATCACTTGCACAGTCAAGGCTCACAAGATTAGATTTAGCCATGAGAGATTCATTAGGAAATCAATTTAATGTCATATGATAAGTCTATTTTGTCTCACATTAGTGACGAAAAAACCTCTTAGCTAATTGAAATGATGCCCTTAAGGAATGTACTTGCTTAATTATCTGGCAAACACGAGACCATTTTCTACTAAGTCAAGTTTAGATGAAAACGTTGCGGAATTTTTGCCCGAAGAAATTTGTGAATGTTAAAGATGAGATAAGGGAATGTCTTCTTTCTATATGACTTTATAAGCACAGCAGTTTTGTAGTAAATTGCCACAAGTTCATTGTACTTTTCGGAATTACTTTGTTATATCAAAGAGAACAAGAAAAACGCGCATCTGACTGAAGTACACCCAGAGCAAATTTTATAAAGATTTCAAGGCAACTCTTTGAACTAACCTTTCAAAGTGAAGAATGATAATCGTAATGATGATCCCCGAAGTACTTATTCGACTGATCAACACTCGCATTAGGTTATTTTGCTGTCGAAGTACTAGATTTATCCTTCATTTAACGACGAATTCAATCTTTCTGCTTTTCTAATCCACATCAATAAGACTGTTCAGTTAAGTCTCCCATCAAATACAGCCAAATGAAGAGCAACAGTGTGACTAAAAGCTAAATTCTTCTTTAAAGATTTAGGTTGCTAAGTGGACGATTACATCATGTTTAGCCACCAAGTAATAATAGTTCTCCACAAAATCTAGAGTTGACGGCTTGGCCAACAAAGAACAATAGAGCAGAAAGGACTAAGTATTAAGGAATGTCAGCCCGCTTTGACGGTAGACAGATCACTAAGTAACCTTATAGAAATCGACCTAGTTGATTACTAAAGCCTGTCATATTAAGTCAACACAAGGAAGTTAATGAAAACTTAGGCTTTTGTCTGGCGAATCACAGTTAAATTAAAAATGATTTTGAAACGATATATTGCTTTCTAAGTTAGTAAATTATGCTATTAGGTGGACAGCAGGAGTTATAGGATATCACTGGCCTGGCCAAGTCTGTATCGGTTTGGATAGGAATAAAGGTTGATCAAACTGATATCATTACGGTACTATTAGAATATTGAGGTGGATAGTAGAACAAAAGAACTCAGATATGCATATATATATCGGTATAATTGTGTTTGATCTTCCTTGCAGAGGGGGGAGGGGTGGGTTTGAGTACAATAATGGCGTTGTACAAGTGGCCGGCTTGCGTGTTGATACTTTTGATGCTTGTAAAACCAAAACTTTTTTACGAAAATAGCAAAACAAATTACACCATTGATACCTATTTCACTTGCTCTCTTAGAATATGGTAGTTTTTGCCTCAAAATCCAAAATTGTGGAAAATAAGGATCTGGATTAACTCCTTGGACTGGACTTTTCTAAGGTGGATTGTCGGATCGAACAATTTTTTTCTTTGGAATTTCAACTTAAAATTAATGTAAAAAGTCTAAGATAACTTGAAGAATTGATTTGATGCAGTTATTTTTAGAAATTAATGAAAAATAGGGCTTTTATGAGAAGGAAAAGTTAAGGGTAGTCAGCGAGAATCTGTTAATTTATTCCACTTAATTTGCAATTTTTTTTCATCTTTATCAAGCAGGAAATCTAAGCAGACCACGTTCGAATTAAAATCCCTTACTTGTGGCCATGCCAGATCACATGTTAAAACAGAAAAAGAGCAGTCGTACAGTTTAATACCACAGACACCGCAATCGCGGGTAAAAAGTAAGACCTTATTTCAAAGGGATACATCACCGTATCAATGCTATTCAAGTGATCATGAAAACAGAAAGCACGAGTAAAGAAAAGAAAAAAAGAAAKAAAGAAATATTTCTATGTGTTCATACACCTTTTAATTTAAGTATGGACTGCCTGTGGTGCGACGAAGGTCCATATACCACAGGAGTCCCAACCCCTTTTCTACAGTTGTTATGATACATCTTTGAAAGCAGACTGCAACTCAAAAATGATTGGTATGCGCCTGTGGACTGGCCTCTTTACTCTTTTTTAACTGATAAAAGTATAGGCTAATTGTTTTCGCTTGCTGGAACTGAAGAGTCATATCCAGTGAAAGGAGTTTTGAATCTGCTAATCAACTCCTTAACCRTATTCCTCCATTAAGTTCCTTTTTATCTTAACAAAGAACAATATAAAATATTATTTTGAAAGTATTAAACTTTCCTTTTTCATAATTAAAATGTTATATGTATTCAACACAAAACAAAAGAAGAAAAAAATTGAAAAGGTACTTACGGGCGATGGTTTAAAAGTTGGGATTAGGAACTTCAAAGGTCCTTTCACTGGATGTGAACTAAGCATGAGGAAGCGACTTTTTCACATCCATTGAAAGGGCCTTCTTAATATCCTTTTTAATAATCCAAAAGTTATATGYTTTGGCCAAAGCAAAATAAGATAGATAAATAAAATAGATGAGAACAAACTAAATGGACGAATATATGGTTTAAAAGTTGATTAGGAAGTTCAAAGGTCCTTTCACTGGATGTGAACTAAGCATGAGACCATATGAGAAAGCGACTTTTTCATATCCATTGAAAGGACCTTTTTTATAATCGAAAAGTTATGTGTTTTGGTCAACAACAACAACAACAACAACAAAAAACAACAACAACAACAACAAAAATTAAGAGAATAATCAAATAAAATAATATAGATAAAAAGAAACCTAATTGACGAATATGGTTTAAGAGTTAAATAGGAGCCTCAAAGGTCCTTTCACTGGATGTGAACTAAGCGTGAGACCATGAAGGAGCACCTTTTTTACATCCATTGAAAGGCTCTAGCTTTTTTATAATTGAAAATGTATAGAAAAATAATTAAATTTAATTAACAGAAAATAAAATAGATAAAAAGAAACTTAATGGACAAATATGGYAAAAAATTGATTAGGAGCCTCAAAGGTCCTTTCACTGGAAGTGAACTAAGCATGAGACCATGAGAGGGGTGGCTTTTTCACACCATTAATTTTGAAAGGACTTTTTTCAACTGAATTCGAAACTCTGTCAATTTTGGTCAACGCAAAATGATAAAAAATATAAATAAAATGAAATAAAAATAGATGCTTATGAAATTAAATGGACGAATATAGGTAAGGAGTTGATAAGGAGTTTCAAAGGTCCCTTCACTGGATGTGAACTAAGCGTGAGATCATGAGRGAGCGACAATTTCACATCCATTGAAAGGAAATTTTTAAACTCCTTTTTAATGATCCAAAAGTTATATGCTTTGGCCAAAGCAAAATAAAATAGATGAATGAAAACAAACTAAATGAACGAATATATGGTTTAAAAGCTGATTAGGAGCTTCAAACGTCCTTTCACTGGATGTGAACTAAGCATGAGACCATATATATGAGGAAGCGACTTTTTCAAAACCATTGAAAGGACATTTTTATCATCGAAAAGTTATATGTTTTGGTCCCGAAAGCAAAACAAATAAATAAATAAAATGAAATAGGTAAAAAGGGATCTTAATGAACGAATATATGCTTTAAAAAATTAATTGATTAGGAACTTCAAAGGTCCTTTCACTGGATGTGAACTCAACATGAGACTTTAAAATCCATTGAAAGGATCGTTTTCATAATCGGGAAAAAATATTTTGGTCAACACAGAAAAAAAAAAAAGATATAAAGAAGCTTCAAGTAAAGGACGAATGATTCAATTGACGAGAAAGAGTCGTTCTTTAGTATTAGATATAGTTACTTTGGATATATTCTTACACGTTCATCCAATATCTTGGGGGAGGGGGAGGTGTGAATTTTGGCGTACTAGTGGCTCTCTGGTTGATACTTTTGATGCTCGTAAAACCATTACTTTTGTACGACAAAAGCAAAACAAATTACACCATTGATGCCCATTTTACCTGCTCTTTTAGAATTTGGTAGTTTTACCCTTAAAATCCGAAATTATGGAAAATCAGGATCTGGATTTACTCCTTGGATCGGACTTTTTTCTGGTGGATTGTCGGAATGACGAAAAAAATTTCTTTGGTATTTCAATTTGAAATTAATGTAAAAAGTCTGACATTACTTGAAGAATTGCTTTGACGCAGTTATTTTTAGAAAGTAATGAAAAACACAGCTGTTATGAGAAGGAAACGGTTAAAAGTACATAGTGAAAATCTGTTAATTTATTCCACTTAATTTGCCATTTCTCTTCATCTTTATCAAACAAGAATTCAAAAGAGAACTTCAAAAATGCCTAATTTGTCTTCATGCCAGATAAACATGCTTAAACAGAAAGAGAGCGGTCATACCAGCTACCGTATACTATTATAAACATATAGGTTGCTATCAATAGACGTCACTTCCGGTTATAGTCGCGTTTTGATGGCTTGTAGAATCTTGGCGGTTGTTTTGATCTCTTGTTTTCGGGTTTCATGTCGTAGAAATAGTCAAATACAATAGTTTGAGGACTTATTTTGGCATGCTTTGACTTAACATCCACTAGTTGTCCCTCAGTCAACCGCTTGTTTACCCCCCCCCCAACTCCAAAAAGTCACGTGATTGATAGTAGTTCTATTACATTAATGTTACAAATGAGTTATTACCAGCCTTTACTTGCTTACGAAAGCTGATTTGTAGTTGCAGGGAAAACTGATAAATACTATTGTATTKAAGAAATAGAAAACGCGCGCGCGTGCTGTGTGTAGTTATGAAGCACGCGGAGGCTGGCAGAACGCGAGAAAAGTACTAGGAGAAGCACGACGCGTAGCGGACAGCGGTAGTGGGTAGATAGAYGTCATTCAAATAATTCTGGTATACTAAAACTGTCTAATGTCCAGCAGATGTCGTCAGTCACTAACGTTACTCAATCTTCATTATCTATTCATTGAATTAACGTTATTTGTCTAAGCAGCCACCATCAGTGTTGTCACGTAATACTCTCTTTATTACATCCGGCGTTAATTGTCAACGTTGATCGTGACAAGCAATAAARCAAATTTAGTATGTGCCAAGAGAGGTGGTTATAACTTCTTATCACTATGTAAGATTGACCTCGTGAGATTACAAGTAAGCCAAAGATAAGGTATTATGATATGTATACTCATGTTAATAGATTCTTACTTCGTCCCTAGCTTTCTATCGCAAATGAAAGTCGGCACGTATATATATATACACACCAATTTCAGAAATCGTTGTCGCATCAAAAGCCTCAAGCAACAAGCCAAGACCGCAGAGAACGCCGGTACTTTTAGCTGTAATTAGTTTATTCATGGTGCATTTTCATTTATTGACTTTTACGAATTGCTCCAAGCAAGGCTGCTTGAGATGATAATTAGTGTAGAGCTATAGCCACTTGCATAAACCATGAATAAATCAATTATAATTAAAAATACCGACGTTCTCTGGAGCCTTGGCTTGTTACYTGAGGCTCTTGGTGCGACAACGATCTTCGAAATAGGTGTGTATATATGTATATGTGTGTGTACCATGTACACTCAATTGCAAAATCATTGCATCGGGGTGCAAAACATAGAACATTGACACTGAAAACGAAAGTTATTGTGGGAAATAACATATTTTACAGACAATATATATATACCCGACGTATTCATTTGAGATTAACACAGTCGATATAAAACATGAAAAAAGCCTCCATGTTTCCTGTCAGTGAACAGTTTAAGCACCCCATGCCGGTGTATCACTAGATACATCAATTTAACGTACTTCCCATGTATATTTACTGTCTCAGC